TATTAGCCTATATTGGAATCGGCCCCTATGGAAAGATTTTATACGGTCAACACAATTTCCATTATGAGATCTTTGGCCAAGGATTTATGTCCTTCAATTTTCTTTAAGAAGGCAAGATTTGAAGCCACTCCATAGAAAAAAATAGATTGTAATCCACAATATAAACAACATCACAAGGAGCCATGGGCTAACTGTGGGAAACGTAAAATTAATCGCGACCATGTCTTAAACATTATTTTTCACTGACCTAAAACCACCAATAACCCAAGAATACACAAATTCATCAATTATTCCTGAAAGAATAGTTCTTGACAAAAATAAATTAATAATTGTTTTTGTTTATTTTTTGTCAAACTTATTGTCAGCATGACAATTTAATTTCTATAACAACAATGTTGTTTTTGTAAAATATTTGTTGTTGTATCTGATGCATACACCTTATTAAATACACCTTGCATAAACCCAATTTGTAAAGAAAAAATATACGTTTACGTTTTCTTTCGAGTTGTTTATCGTTCGACTTCTTTTGCCTGTAAAAAGTTTTTATATGAACCAAAATTGATTTTCATTTGCATTGAAAGCGAACGAAACCTTTCTTTCGAAATACATAAACAGGCTGATAATGTCAATTATTTCTTTCTATTTGCTTTTCAATACACATACATATCGACGCCTCCGAACCATAATATGCTAAGTCGACTTAGCATGTATTAAAGTTCTTTACGTTTTTAGATACTACGGTCCTTAATTTATATTCTCTGAAATTTTGGTAATCATCGGCCAATCCAAACCAAAGTTATAAGCAAAAATGTACTTAGCATGGCCCGTAAGATATATGAAACTTCCATACTTTGAGAGCTTCTACTGAAAAACTCACTTTTCAGACTTAGCATACTATGGTTCGGAGGCGTCGATATGTATGTACATATTTTGTATTTTATATTCCAAAATTTTCGGATGATGCGCAATTGCAGCCATCTTTCTGAAACAAATTTGAAAGTAGCTACATGCTACTAACATACATACGAACATATCGTCAGCTAAAATGCAAAAAGGCGTAACTAACAAAAAATTGAAATTGACTTTTTGAATGAATATTGTGAATGTCAATAAACTGCATGTGTTGACAAAGTTTTACACGTCTGCGGTCAAAAAAGGAAAAACAAAAAGACGTAACTACAAGTGGGTTTATTTGATAAATGCAAAAAGGCGTAACTAACAAAAAATTCAATTTTTTACATAATTGTTATGACTGTCATTAAACTAAATAACTAAATCTGTTAAAAAAATTATGGTCTATTATTCGTCATATGCAATATCACCCTGCCGGGCATACTTTTTCATTTCACATGACATGTTTATAGTTTTCATTCAAAACAGTTTTTTGCTACTCCTGCACAATTATGCTTTTGTTAGTTACGCATTTTTGCATTTTGCTTATATGCTTATTTTTTATGATGTTACACCGCATCCACGCGAATTTTTAGGAGTTTATCTAACCTATGTTACTTCCATCGCTTGACGTACTCTTGGTAAAACTTGTTCAGTGGTTCTTAAGTCCACAAACAATATGCTTTCGATTTTCTATATACATATGCATAGATAGGAATGCAATGAGGAGTGCATTTTCCTGTTAAATGGATTATGCGTAATTACGCCCATGTTACTCAGACATATTTTGAAGTCGGTATCTGTAACCTTTCTTAGGATATACACAAATTACATGTTCATAAATTCTGAGGCATGAGTACGTTCGATGCTATAACTCCGCATACACGCCGAATCTTAGAGGTTTATATAACCTATGTTATTCCCAGGACATGTCATGACATTCTGTGAAAGTCTCAGTAAAATCTGTCCACCGATTTTTGAGTCTGCAAACGAAATATTTTCTGTTTTCAATATGCAGATTTTGAAAATGCAGCAGAAAATGTACTTTCCGTTGATCATACCAAGCACGTTTTTGTATGTATGGTGTGTATTTACATCTACGTTATTCACACAAATTTTGAAGCCGGTATCTGTAACCGTTCTTAAGATATACGCATATTACATGTTCGGAAATTTTGAGGTTTGTTTACTATTGACGCTATAACTCTGCATCCACGCGGAATTTTAGAAGTTTAGCTAGCCTATGTTACTTTCAGGGCATGTCATGACATACAGTGTAAATATCATTAACATCTGTTCAGCGGTTTTAGCGTCTATCGTGAACATACACACAAACAAACAATTTTTTTTTCTATTATATATATATATATATATATATGAACCGATTTCAAGGAAACTTGCCAGATATTATTTTATATTAACCTCAGTACGTTGTGTCAATCGGCCTAGCTATGGATCTTTAGTGCACCATTGACTTAAAATCGGACGAAAATATATAAAGAAGGTGTATGTAAATCTAAATCGATTTTCACGAAAGACTTTGATGCATAATTTACATAAAATCGGACGAAAATATTTTATTTTTACGAAACTTTGCACACATTATTCAGTACGCGGTGCCAAAATTCGTGCAAATTGAAGGATTTGCAGAGACTTTAATGCACCATTTAACTAAAATCGAACGAAAATATATATGGAAGCATATCTAAATCTGAACCGATTTTCACGAAAAACGAAACACGTCATTCTAGACTTAATTCAGTACGCTGTGCCAAAATTCGTGCAAATTAAAAGATTTACAGGGACTTTGGTTCACCATTTACCTAAAATCGGATGAACATATATATGAGAGCTATATCTAAATCTGAACCGATTTTCTCCAATTAAGTTTTTTTCTCCAATATTTTATTTATTTTAGACATGTTTTCAAGCGACACGCGTCTTTTTTGTTATATTCATGATCTTAGTCCAATTTTTCCACCTGAGAGTCTGTAGTTTGGCAGAGTCCCTCATAGCGGAGTTCTTAAAAAGTTCTGGCCTCCTGAACTTCAAAGCGTTTTATAATGTTTTTAAAAGTTTTTTAAGGATGCTGTTACATTTTTAATCTGATATAAGCATTCACTAATTTTTTTCCTCAATACATGATTTTTATATTACACAGTCATTTTGTGTATATTACGAATGAAGTAGATTAAATTTGGATTTTGAAATTAATGTTTAATTCACGTTTTAATTATTTTCAAAGCTTGTCATGAATAGTATCAACATTTCACACTTCAAATCTTTTTATACCCTTCACCACACTGTGGTACAGGGTATTATGTCTTTGTGCATATGTTCGTAACAGGCAAAAATAATCGAGATAGACCCATGGTTCCTTTTGAGAATATGCATAGAATCACTTTCTAAGTCGATTTATGCATGTCCGTCCGTCGTCTGTCTGTCTGTCCATGTTAAATTGTAAACAAAGTACAAGTCGCATTTATGATCTGAATTGGATGAAATTTGGCATAGGTCACTTATTCGGCCCACGGACGAACCCTATTGAAATTGGGAAAAATCGGTTCAGATTTAGATATAGCTCCCATATATATATTTAACCGATTTAATGTGAACGGTCCCTATATATCTTTCGATTTGCACGAAATTTGGTACAGGCTAATCATTTAGGCCTATAATGATGTCTGCCAAGTTTCGTGAAAATCGGTTCAGATTTAGATATAGCTCCCATATATAGTTTCGTCCGATTTCATGTAAATGATGCCCCAAAGTCCCTATATATATTTCGATTTGCACGAAATTTGGCACAACCTACTGAATTAAGAATAGAGTTATGTCTGCCAAGTTTCGAGAAAATCGGTCCAGATTTAGATATAGCTCCCATATACAGTTTCGTCCAATTTCATGTAAATAGTGCACCAAAGTCCCTATATATCTTTCGATTTGCACGAAATTTGGCATAACGTACAGAATTGAGCCTAGAATGATGTCTGCCAACTTTCGAGAAATACGGTGCCGATTTAGATATAGCTCCCATATATAGTTTCGTCCGATTTCATGTAAATGGTGCACCAAAGTCCCTATATATCTATTGATTTGCACGAAATTTGATACAGCCTAATCATTTAGGTCTAGAATGATGTCTGCCAAGTTTCGTGAAAATCGGTCCAGATTTAGATATAGCTCCCATATATAGTTTCGTCCCAATTCATGTAAATTGTGCCCCAAAGTCCCTATATATCTTTCGATTTGCACGAAATTTGGCATAACGTACTGAACTGGGTCTAGAATGATGTCTGCCAAGTTTCGTGAAAATCGGTACAGATTTAGATATAGGTCCCATATATAGTTCCTTCGATTTCATGTAAATGGTGCACCACAAATATCTTGCGATTTGCACGAAGTTTGGCATAACGTACTGAATTGAGTCTAGAATGATGTCTGCAAGTTTCGTGAAAATAGGTCAATATTTACATATAGCTCCCATATAGTTTCGTCCGATTTCATGTAAATGGTGCACCGAAGTCCCTATATATCTTTCGATTTGCACAAAATTTGTCATAACGTACTGAATTGAAGCTAGGGTGATGTCTGCGTTGTTTCGCAAAAATCGGTCCAGATTTAGATATAGCTCCCTTTTATTATAGATTGATTTTAAGTAATTGACGCACCAAGGAACCAATAGGAACAAAATGTTCTGAAATTAGTATAACCTAACCTGTGACAAGTTTGTTTGAAATCGCTTAATATTTGGATAGAGCTTCCATATATATTTTCGCCCGATTTCAAGTAAATTGGGCATCAAACTCCTCATGTTAGTCAGTTTGACATCAAATTTTGCACAACGTACAAAATTGAGCATAGAATTATGTAGTTGCGTTTTCTTGAAGTACAGACATTGTTTGAAGTCGATTTACATACTTTATGGATAGATCTACGTAGATTCACATTTAGATAAATATCACATATTTTATTTCATCCAATTCCATGCTAATAGTCCTGTTTAATATACCCATAGTGGTGAAGGGTATCATATAGTCGGCCCCGTCCGACTTTACTACTTTCCTTAATGGTTTTGGTTTGCTGTTATTTCTATTTCACCATCATACCTTTATCGGCAACAGATTTCATATCTTTTGTGTTATCACTTGTACTGTTTTCATTCAAAATTTCCATGTTTATTATCTTTTGGTGCGAATTTCTTGACGGATGATTTTGGACGGTAACACCGGATTCTTTAACTTTTTAATAACGTAAACACAAACTAGACCACTTCTGTTCTTCTCAAATGATACAAAATTATTATAACTTCCGACACATTATACGTTACAGACAGATGCGACTACAATGTCAATATAATTCTGGATAACATTCCACCTGGATGTTGATCTTCTTATAAGATTAAAATCTACTGTATTTTTACTGTCTTATCTTAATTACTATTTGTTGTGTCTACTTACTGCAAATCGGTTTAGAAACTACATTCATTACGATATATCGCAGGTCAATTCGTTGAAAGAGTAATTCATATTGCAGAATTGTAAAATAAATTTATTGTTTTAAAATTAAATTGTAATGAAATTAACATTTTTATTTGTTTATTTTTTGTTTGGTTTCTTCCGAATATAACAGCGTTTTATTATAGCAGATGCTATGAGTAAGAATTGGATTATTTTTAAAAGATAGTTATCAACCTCAACTGTCGTTGTCACCTTATCAGTATCTTATCAATTTGGTAGCTGTTGTTTGTTTGTCACCACCCACGAATGTTAGGGAAATAAAAGCGTCACATCTTTTATAATTTTACAAAAGATTTCTTACGTATTAGCATCAGCAATAGATACGATCTCTCCCCGTTAGGCCAAATAAGCTACCAGGTGAGAAAAGCTTCTGATAAAATTGTATTATTGACGACATTGACTTAGAAAAGTTAAGCGTTTCTTGGCAAGAACTGAATGATGTTGAATTTTATAATCTCAATGTGATTTATTGGTATGAGGCCTTCCAAGGTTACCAGTTTTTGACATACCATTATTTGGCAAAAGCGTTTTCATAAATATTTAGTAAGAAAAATTAAAAGTCGTATATTATCAGTCGTATGCCATATCGTTCGGAAGTTTTAAGGTTTTCCATAAAAGCTGTTATTTTGCATTTGAAGAAAAGTGTAATTTTCAAGAAGTTTGGGACCATTCTGTGGTGGCTTAAAATTATTAGAATACGTGTGAATATTTTAGAAACTTAGGCTGGAAAACTCAGCCTAGACAGTATAAAATGGCGGATACAGGTAATTTGATAGTAGGGAAATCTACAAAATCGTATTTTGAAAATACATGCACAAGAAATCCTTTACATTGGGGATATGTCCAAACATGGACCTATATTGAATACTTTCTGCAATCATATTTTTCACACTCCAAGAACCCGGATGAATAGCCTTATCGATTGAAAAAGATGTATGTAAATATGTATATATATATATATATACTAGCTGAACCCGTGGCGCTTCGCTGCCCCTACTTAAGTATTAACATAGGGTAGTCCACGTAAATGCAATGTTTTTTAATGAACCTATCATTTGATGGAATTTACCCTTTTGCAAAACCTACTGCAGTACCCTTCATTCCCATTACCACCTACTTTTATTTCTGTATTTTCAGCAGTTTGCCCATAATATCGTTTGGATCCCTTTCTCGCTCCGATTAATATCACAAAGATCCTTGCTGCATAATCCTTGCTAGCTTGAAATTTTGTATCTTTGTTTTATTACCAAAAAAGGGTTTCAAAAAGAATACATCACAACTTTATATTTTTACCGAACCTAGATTTATAATTGGACTTACCATGTAATTCCATGGTATTTTTAAGAAACTAAGATCAATTCCGAAGATGGAGTGACAATTAAGTAACTCATAATCATTTCAAGTCAGCTGTGATGATAATCCACCAGAGATTTTTGAATCTTATAACTTTTTATCCAAAATCCGCCTTTTTGCATTTGTATATCTCACTTATACTGTTGATACATACTTTTATAGAATTAATACGCGTTTTCTTCAATAGATGTAAAATTTTTGAAACATAAAAACAAAACAAAATCTAAAATTGAAATGTTTTTTTTCAAACTGACAAAATGAAAAAAATATAATATGTCAATATTTTTTCATTTTACACAAATTTTTATCCATTATATGATGATAATGAAGAGATGAAAAACAGCAGACGTTAACGGAATTATTTAACTGGTGGTTATTGTTATTACTGATAATAACATAATATGACCAAAAATTATTAGTCGAAAATTCTTGATTTGAATTAATTTTTAAATCCTGGTCATTTAAGATTGGATGTGTAATTATCTGAGTATAAAACACACGTTTATGAACCAATTTATTTAAGATATGCATAGAAACTATATATTAGTTCAGAGGTATGATTCCTTTTGATGCTATAAATTTCCCCCATTGTGTCACGCCAATTTTTATATGGATGATGCGTATTTGTCACCAAGTTTCTCAGACAAATTTTGAAGTTGAAATCTGTAACCCTTCTTAATATATAAGCATAGAAATGTAATATTATTTCAGATGTACGATTACTTTCGATGCTATAACTCTATATCCACGCTGAATTTTTAAAGTGTGTATAGTCTATGTTATTTCCCTGGGATGGTACGACATGCAGTGAAAATCTCAGTAAAATCGGTTTAACGTTTTTTGAGTCTAGAAGCGAAACATTTTTATATCCTTCATGTAAATTATTTAAGTGTAACGGAGAGTGCATTTTCCCCCAATCGTTCCACGCTCAATTTTGTATGGATGATGTGTATTAACACCTACGTCATTCAGACAAATTTTAAAGGCGGTACATGTAACGGTTCTTAAGATCTACGCATATTACATGTTCAGAAAATTTGAGGTATGTTTACTATTGATGCTATAACTCTGCATCCACGCGGAATTTTAGAAGTTTATATAGCCTATGTTACTTTCAGAGCATGCCCCGACATACAGTGTAAATCTCATTAAGATTTGTTCAGCGATTTTTGCGTCTATCGGTAACATACAAACAAACAAACAAATTTTTTTCTATTTTATATATATAGATATCGATTGAAACCTTAAAAATATCACAAAATCGGCATTCCATGTCAAAAATGGAGCTATATTCATAATTTTCTGTGTAGAATTGTTGTACTTGAATAGAAAAAGGTGGCTAAATTCTTCAAAATACTGCCAATGGGCGGTACTAGGAATATATTGATGGGGAGTTGATAATGTTTACATGTATAATATATTCAACCTTCCAAAAACATGCACTGCCAACTTACTTAGGTGGAAAAAAACTTTACACAACTTAATATTTATACTAAAACTATATCGTGTTCGAAGGTGGGAATTATTGGCCCGCTCCTTCTGGTGCCTTCCCACAGTGGGTCCATATTTGTATACCCATCATCACACTGTGATACAGGTTATTATGCATATTTTTGTAACAGGCTAAGGGGAACGAGATGGGCACATGGTTGCTTTTGAGGCGATGAGGCGATCCGAATTGGATGAAATTTTGCACAGATTAATTATTTGGTGCATTGGTGCACTAAAACCTAAAGTTAAGCTGATTGGCACACAATTTTGCAAAACAGTAATTCTACATAGCGTGTGTCAAATTTTGTTGAAATCACATTTAGTTAATTTCATATTAATGGTCTGTTAAAGAATGCATATACCCAAAGTAGTGATAAACACCGTATAATGCGAACGGAGTAGTAAATTTGATAAAAACTCTGCACATCGTATATTTGTCAAACTTTCTTCACATTCTAATACATAGCTTTTCAATTAACCGATCGACTGTTTCTCAAATTTCCATTTTTATACCCTTCACCACATTGTGGTACAGGGTATTATGTCTGTCTGTCCATGTTAAATTGTAAACAAATTACAGGTCGCATTTATGATTCGAAATGGATGAAATTTGGCATAGGACATTTATTCCCCCATTGAAATTGGGAAAATCGGTTCATATTTAGATATAGCTCCCATATATTTTTTCGTCCGATTTTAGGTAAACGGTGCACCAAAGTCCCTGAAAATAGTTTGATTTGCACGAATTTTGGCACAGAGTACTGAATTATGTCTAGGATGATGTGTGCTAAGTTTCGTGAAAATCGGTTCAGATTTATATACAGCTCCCATATAAAGTTTCGTCAGATTTTAAATAAATGGTGTACCAAAGTCCCTGTAAATCTTTTGATTTGCACGAATTTTGGCACAGCGTACTGAATTAAATCTAGAAAGACGTGTGCTAAGTTTCGTGAAAATCGATTCAGATTTAGATATAGCTCTCATATATAGTTTCGCCCGATTTTAGATAAATGATGCACCAAAGTCCCTGCAAATATTTTGATTTATACGAAATTTGGCACAGAGTACTGAATGCAGCCTAGACTGATGTGTGCTAAGATTCATAAAAATCGGTTCAGATTTAGATATAGCTCCCATATATATTTTCGTCCGATTTAAGGTAAATGGTAAACCATAGTCCCTATATATATTTCGATTTGCACGATATTTGGCACAGATATTTTCGTCCGATTTAAGGTAAATGATGATCCAAAGTCCCTATATATCTATCGATTCGCACGAAAATTTGCATAGAGTACTGAATTAAGAGTAGAATTATGTGTTTTATGTTTCGTGAAAATCGGTTCAGATTGGATATAGCTCCCATATATATTTTCGTCCGATTTGTTGAAATTAGTGCAGTTGCAGACATAGCTTCCATATATATTTCGAACGGGAGCCTGATTGAGATTAAATTTTGAACAGTGCGGCATACCGAGTAGCGTGTATCAAGTGTGCTATAAATCGATTTACATAAATTTGTCCCATTGTACGCAAAGTACTCTAAATCTGCCCGAAGGAAATGAAACTTAGCATACGTTTCAGAATATATGTACGGATTGATGTCAGTTAGTTAGATAAAGATCACATATTTGAGTTCGTTCAATTTTATGTCAATGCGCCTTCGTAAAGGCCACGTCTATTTGGACATATATGTCGAATATACCATAGTGGTGAAGGGTATCATATAGTCGGCCCAGTTCGACTTTCTACTTTCCTTACTGTTTTTGTTTTTTTGTTCTTAGTTTCACTTTCCTAAAAGTTTTTAAAATA